TATATATGTATATATGTGTGTACATATATACCTTTGTACAAGCACAACGTTAGACTGATTTATTTGGCAAATAAAACTGTTCTTGGCATATGGATATGGATGTGAGTTTCTTGGGATATTTTGTTCTATGTGTATAACAATAAAGATTGAACAGAGGAGGTGGACGTTCAAGGTGAGTTTATGGACTGGATATTGATAAAACTCGATGGCATCTTAGGACTGCAGTCTGCTTTAAGACAGCATGGCTATGGCTCATTTCCTTTTGTTCTTCTTGCCTTATATTGCTCCATAGTTAAAACACCACCTTTGTCTTACTTGTCCCCGCAAGGACCTGATCTTTATCACTTTCTCTTGTCTCTTTCAGGTTTGTTCAGCTTTCTGTTTGGCTTGACAGGCATGATGGTGTATGAAGGCGAAAGCGTGAAGCAGGAGGGGATTTTCCAGGGATACAACATTATTACCTGCATAGTTGTTGTCTTACAGGTTGCGCCATCATGTTTCACTACAGTACATCATTTGACTTCCATGAGTTTTATGGCAGTCTTTGTGGAGTTGTTCATGTCTGCCTTTGTGTTGTTTGCATGTCTTCAGGCTCTCGGCGGGCTGATCGTGGCTGTAGTCATTAAATATGCTGACAACATCCTCAAAGGATTTGCCACCTCTCTATCAATCATGGTGTCTACACTCATTTCGTATTTCCTGTTGAAGGACTTTAATCCCACAAGGTAAACACAAACGCACTTATGCACAATAAAAAAAATATTAATTTGCTAACACTTTATCAGTGGGAAACACTGCCTCCACCACAGTCTATTTTACAGAAAACAATCATGATTTCAAATCCACTGTGGTGGTGTAACGAGGCGTGCTATTAAAAACTATCATTTTTGGACCTACCTGTGTGTCAGCAATTGACACTGATTATCAGGAAACCAGTTCAAACAGAATCCAGATGTCTTTTAACAGTCACCTGACTGCGCTGACCACCTTCACATTTGTGGATTTTCATCAGGTTTTGTGTTGATTAAAAAATAGTTCTTCCATCACAAACTCCAGTTTAGCATTTTTGGTTTTAACTAATAAAAATCTGCCTTATTTTAATACTAATCAGCAAGTCTTTGCTTCCAAACATGTTAAACTGTGCAGTGAAAAGTTTTTGCCACCTTCCTGATTTTGTAGTTTTTTGCATATTTGTTAAATTTAAATGTTTCAGATCATCAAACAAATTTTA